GGATGGAGCTACAGGTCTTTCTGTTAGATCAGGAGGCCCTGAGGTAAAATGGTATGTTAGTGTGAGTCTGGGAAGCTACTCCTCTCCATTGTTGACCAGCCAGGCTGAGACGTAAGGAAAAAAACAGAACATAGAGTACAATATTATTATTTAGAATGTTTTTACCTGGATCAGTTCATAGAGCTTGCACTGTCATTCAGATGGAAGCTGCTCAGAAACTCTCCACCACACCTGGGTCTGTTCAGGAGTGTAGAAGCTGCTCTGGGTGGAATTCCCATCATGGTCCCAGTGTCAAGACACACAGCTGCTGGGAGGCTATGTGAAATATAAAGAAACAGTAAATATATTTAAAGTTGTTTTTAAGAGCAGCAACACACGTGTGTAACAATAAGCTAAAATAATTACATAATGTTAAAACTAGAAGGTAAAGAAAGACAGAAGATCAGACATGTTCTAATGAGAACTCAGACATCATCTGATCTAATATTTTTAAAATGATGACATCAAAGAGACAAAAAATAAGAAGTTATGGGCAAATATTGGTATTTTAAATACTAAAGGAAAAAAGTAAACAAATAAACAACATAATTACAAAATAACACATTTTAGGCAAAATTTAGACACAAACTGAGGACAATATTTCCTGACATACAGGGTTTATTTAATTGTGTGAAAATGTAGCACGTTTAAAAAAAACAGCGATAATACCGAAAACCGTGATAATTTTGGTCACAATAACCGTGAGGTTAAATTTTCACACCGTGACAACCCTAGTGTAAACTAGATCATTTAAACCAAAAACATGTTCTGGTACCAGGCTGTAAACATGTTTATTTCTGCTGTGAAATTGGTATTTTTAACATGGAAGTCATTGAGGATTTGCTCGCTTCTGACACCAGCCCCTAGTGGATGAGGGTGGAACTGCAATTTTTGGTACTTCCGGGTTGGCCTCAATTTTTGAGCCGCATTGTGGGGGCTTGATATTAACTCATTCGCTGCCGGCCGTTTCCTGATCGGTAAACCCCTTCGCTGCCGGCCTTTCTCGCCGTTTTTACAGTTGTTGTTTTTTAAGAGTCACAGAACGTTGCGCCCTAGGATGATGTTAACGCCAAAACAAAGAGTAGACTCACCTCTTACAGTACATCAGGAAGAATCCGCGCGTTTCCAGCTTTATCCGTTCTTTCATAGTCTGTTGTTGAACTGTGAGCGGTAGAAGCTTTTCCGGTTCGCGCCTCACTTTTTTTTTTTTTTTTTTTACAGCAGCGGCCCACAACGATCTCCTAACACATGGACTTTCTGCTTCCTGATCACGTGACGTGTGACTTATGCGGATGAAAATGGGCTTTAGAGCTGAGATGTTTGTTCTCACGGTGCGGGGGCTCGTTCCAATGCCCAAACAGTAAAAAAAAATGCAAATGATGACTTTAATCGTCATTGGCAGTGAATGAGTTAATATCACTGTTATGGCCGATAACTGATATTTGCTGATAACGATATACTGACATTACTGCTTCTAAAATCAGCAGATTTTCTATAGAATGAAAATGATTAAATCTGAATTTACGTCATTATGCACACACACCACACACATTTGCACTTCTGAGATGATTATAATCACTGTCACATAGAGCTGAAACGATTCCTCGAGTACCTCGAATAATTCGAGTACAAAAAATCCTCGAGTCAAATTCTCTGCCTCGAGGATTCGTTTAATTCATATTTAATTAATTCATGGCTTTGCAATCGCCCGTGGTCATGTTTCACCCGGACCGAAATAAGTGACGCACGTGCCCACTGGACTGCGAGTAGCGAATATAACTTAACTTTCTCTTAAGCCATGGCGGACAACGTTGACCCCGGTGGAGGGCGAAAAAGACAGAAAATGTCAAAGTTGTGGGACCATTTTTCACGTCGTAAGGTGAAAACGTAGTCCAGTGTAAATACTGTAAAACGGATTTAGCCTACCACAACACCACATCCTCCGTGCTGCAGCACCTGTAAATGTCACTTCTGCAAGCGGACTCGGAGCCTCTACAAGATAGTGCATTTTAGCCTGTTTTTCTATATATTCTGCGGACACTGTGACTTTTTCGTTTGTAGCACTCAGTTTCAGCTCACACCGTACGTCTGGTAGCAACACGTCGGACTTAAAATGTGCTAAAAAATAGCAGTTTTTACACAACACGTCGGATTTTTTATTGTGTTATTGATGTCTGTTGTCCCTCGGGGTTTCTGCAGCAGGACACGGGTATTTATGAGAGTGGCGGAGGAAAACGAAAGAAAGTAAATAAATGTTTTGTGATCAGTATAATTTGACAAAACCACAGCAAACATGCCTTTGGCAATCCTTGTTAGTGTGTGAAAAAAAGTGTGGAAATTAAAACGGACGTGTGTTAATAGGGAAACAGGGGCGAGCTGTTTGCGCCATGAGCGGTTCTGGTTCTGTTTGGGCCGCAGCCGCTCGCAGCGTTATCCTCCTAGTTTCTGTCTGGCTTGCAGGCTAGCAGATTCTCGCACGAGGGGAGAATCGGCTCAGGTTGTTTACTTATTTTTAGCACAGGCATTTGTTTACTGTGAAGTAAAGTTGAAGTGCTGAAGTTATGCAAACTAATTTTGAATAAAACTTGAAGAATAACTGGCAATTGCTTGCTCATTTTAAGAGGTCTTTCATAATTATAACATGCTATTTGATATCAAATCACTTTTATTGTCACGTCACATGTGCAGGTACACTGGTACAGTACATGCGAGTGAAATTCTTGTGTGCGAGCTTCACAGCAACAGAGTTGTGCAAAAATACAGTAATGTAAAAACAAGTAAAATATAAAAATGGCTAATCTAAGTATACAAATGAATAAAGTAAACAATAAGATAAGAGATATAAAATGTACAGAGGTTGGTATGTGCAAAACAGTGGCATTAATGTACAGTATGGAGCGTGTAATGTTGGAACTTGGTGGAGCTCGCGACGAGGCAGCCATACTCAGCGCCATCTTGGCTCATCAATATATGATATAAAGGTTTACAAACACAAAAGGGTAATTTATTAGCGTACTCGATTAATCGAAAAAAAGATTCGATAGAGTACTCTATTACAAAAATATTCGATAGCTGCAGCCCTACTGTCACATGACTAAACAATGACACATCACCCCCCTTACCCGCTGAAACAGGCAAACAAATGGAAACGAGATGGAAATATATTGGTTGTTAATATGGGCTACATGGTGGCGCAGTGGTTAGCCCTGTTGCGTCGCAGCACGAAGGTTGCAGGTTCGAAACTCTGCTCGGCTGCGGCCTTTCTGTGTGGAGTTGCGTGTTCTCCCCATGCATGCGTGGGTTTCCTCCGGGTACTCCGGTTTCCCCCACAGATCACAACATGCCCTGTAGGTTCTAAATTGTAAGTCGCTTTGGATAAAAGCGTCTGCTAAATACATAAACATAAACATAATATTGGCCCAGTTTTATTTATCAGACAGATTCCCGATATATTAAAAAATTACTTACATCTGCCGATACATATATTGATGCAGATATATTGTGCACCACTAGTTTGAACCCAATGGTCTCATTTCAGAAATGTAGCATGGACCAAGTTCTGTTTAAGGCCGGGGACACACCGGCCGCCGAAGCGCCGCGAAACGGGGACCGCCTTCATTCGGTGCTCTTGTTATCCTATTCTATAGACCACATGGGCTGCTGAAGCGCCGCACGCCGGCGCTCAAGCCCGCGCCGTGCGGCAATCGTCTGGCGTCTGCTCTATTTTTTTCGCGAGCCGCGGGTGAACCGCGTCAATTCTGGCAGGAAGTCAAACCTAGACATAAGAGGCAGGCCGGTAAATTTAACAAAGCATCTCAAAATACAATTCCGCGATAGTAAGGAAATTTTAACTACAGATACTTAAAACTAAAGAAATATGAAAAATTCATATTTCACACTTTGGATAAAAAAACTAATTGCTTCAATAATTATTGTAAAATACTTAAATGAACGCCAACTTTTTAAAATTGTGCCTTTTATTTTTAATAAAATCTGTATAACGTGCAGTAATATTTGTAAACATGACAGGAAATGACATTATACATCAAAAGATTAAAAGGTGTTAATGATGCAGATGTAAACTAAAGGTAAGAATATTTTTCTGGTGTATTTATTTGAGTTTTTATTAGACCGATCAAGGTGAGACACTTGAAAGTTTCTCCTCACAAAAGCACCGCTAGAACACAGAACACTGATCATAACAGCTATAGCAGCCATGAAAATAAAAACGATCAATGTTCGGTGCGACAATCCGCAAGCTCGGTTTGGTTCGCTGAGCTGTAGCAATCATCTGCTTGCAGCTAACAGCAGCATAACACTTTTCTAACCAGGGTAATCCCCGGACGTGTTTTCTTCACCAAGCTAACACTTTTCAGATCATCTCATCTACTGCTTTTATTCCCAGCCACGGACATTTTCTCCCTTTTGACATAACTTTTGCCGGCATAAACATTGGTATTTGATGACTGGTTAGTGGTAGCTTGTTCAAACAACCAGCTCCAGACTGTGATTGGTTCTTTTTCCTTGCTAATCCCGCCTGTTCCATTTGCTAATTGGTTCTTTTTCCAGTCTCCCATCTTTTTTTTTGTGTCTGTCAATTCTCCTGTCGTCTCTTATTCATCAGTGAAAATGTCGGTCAATATTCGTTATAATTTTGTCTTTATTGGTGTGAATGTTTTTGTTTGATTTAGTTGGCGAAAATTCATTCGTCACGAAAACACCTAAATCATTTTGTCAACGCAATTAACACTGATTCACTTCTACTAAAGATGATTGCAATGTATTAAATATGAGTGAATGACCTCTTAAATGGTAACTCCTGCTTAAAGACTTGTCAGTGTCATCTTCCAGAATAGAAACAAAAGCATTTTGTGGCACAGTGCCTCCCTGCAGTTCAGGAGTTGATTTGCTCTGTTTGTTAGAGCAGTGTTTGTGTGAATACCCTCTCATTATCCCGGCAGACTGGAGAAGCGCTACATGGAAAAGTACTGGAAAGAGGTGCGAGTCGGAGACTTCATTAGGCTGCGATGCAATGAGATCCTCCCTGCCGACGTCCTGCTGCTAAGCTCCAGCGACCCGGACCGCCTGTGCCACATAGAGACTGCCACATTGGACGGGGAGACCAACCTCAAGCAGAGACAGGTCGTTCGCAGCTTCTATGACCTGGTGAGACTGGAACTGTTCAATTCACACCTCTAACAACCTGCCTTCGTCAAGCTGTCTAGGTTAGACTTTCACAATCTCTGAAGAGAATTAGCCACAGTATTGATGTTCACCACACTTCTATAATTTAGTCTGGTTTCTTTGTTTTTGTTCATGAATGCAACACAAGACCTGCCATTTGTCCCTGAACTCCATCATGTGATTTATTTAGAAGTTAGTCATGGTTCTGATTGATTTCAGTAAATAATAAATGGTGCACCCCTGTTAGCTTTATGATTTTCAACATGTTGATGTATACCTTTTGTAATTATTTGATTTCTCTTGATAGGACTGTGAGTTTGACCCATTAAAGTACAACAGCATCATTGAATGTGAAAAGCCAAACAACGACCTGAACAGATTTCGGGGCTACATGTGAGTACTGAGAGTTACTACCAGGCTTGGGCGGGATCCACATTTTAATACCATCCAACTTCTTCCACAGTTTACCAAGGTGTACGGCAGGGATGCAAGTTTTCCAAAATGTCTTTAACCGGTCATTGACACCCCTTAACAGTTGATGGCAGACCAATTGGAATTACCAAACTGCTGGTTTTGACCTTCACCAATTAGAAACTAAATAACAAACACTATTACTAAAACAATAATAACATAACACACATAATATTAACAACATTCTTAAAAAGTAGCTTATATAAAGATTTTTTGCCTGGAAAAACCAGCAGGTTCAGGTTTCCAGATTCAACCTTCGGGCTGCTGAAAACCCGCTTCGATGAGCATGTGGCACTGACACATGGGTACTTTGGGGCTAGCTGTGACATTAGGGGAAGGCTGGCTGCTTATTTCCACCAGAAAAGTGCGCTGTTGTCGTAACTTTTGATAAGTGGCTACAGACAGAAAGCTGCTATTTCAGCTACAGCTTGGTCCTCTGCTGTGCCGACGGGGCGTGCGTCTTTTGCTGTCATCTTTTGTTTGCATAAATTACCTCATCAGTGTACCAAAAGGCCAAGTATTTCATCAAAAATGACCAGAAATTAACTTTTCATTTGCAGACACAAACAGCATCACACATCCAGGGTTGAATCACATCTGTTTGCAAATTAAAAGTCAATTTCTGGTCATTTTTGGGGAAACACTTAGCCTTGTGGTACATCTCAAAGATAAGGGAATTCAGGAAAAGCACTTATTATAGCTCCCTTATTTGGTTAAAAGGTTGTAGGTCATTGCTTTTCCATAGGCCAGACAGATGTGATGCTTCCTAGGATGTGTGACACAGTTTACCGGCTCTCCTTTTAAGTTATGATAAATGATAAATGACCCGCACTTGTACAGCGCCTCTCAGAGTAAGGACTCCAAAGTGCTTTACACTACAGTGTATCATTCATCCATTCACACACACATTCACACACTGATGGTGATGAGCTACGATGTAGCCACAGCTGCCCTGGGGTGAACTGACAGAGGCGAGGCTGCCGAGCACAGGCATCACTGGTATGGTTGGGCATTGTTTGAGTTTGAACGATTCAGATTCCGATTGAAATTCCTTGTTTCGATTCCGGTTTCTATCGATTCCCGATTCCGATTCTTTCAAGACATGACATGTTTTACATGAGCCAGCTAACCACAGGTCCTACTTGATGAAATAATCTTAACTTCAACAGGAATTTTAATTCTATGAACAACAATATCACCTTCATTTAGACAAAAACATGTTTTGGAGAAAAAGACTTGCAGCACAACCAGTGTGTTTGTTTCTGACCACAACCAAAGTGTGGAAGCAGCCTCTGGGATGAGAGGCTAAACGTCTCCAACATATCCAGAAACGTCCAGCTGTTTTCAGCTAAAACTCTCAGGATGATCATGTCCAGGATGACCGAGAACTACACCTCCATGCTGCAGCAGCATTCAGTCACAACAGGAAGTGAAACTTAAATGTAGCTGGCTGCGTCTGACTGCTGACGCTCCGTGTGTGTTGTTATTTCTGCAGTGAGACAAACTCACCTCACACCGTACAGAGTTTGTTCTTTAAAGCTTCTATTAAACCCACTGTGTTGATGTATTTTAATAAGTTTCCTCTACGCTGCAGGAGTTAAAGTTTACGTCACGGAGTAAAAGTTCGGCAGACGCATTTGTTTATATCTGGGTGGGGGAGGGGGGACTCGTGCTGCACACAGACAGCTGGTGTGATCAGCTCTGAAAAGCCTTGATCATAATTTGCAGATCACGTTTATTTTTCACGGAGATCTGCCGTGGATTCCTCTTCCTTCGGCATTTTAGGAATCGAAACTAGGAATCGAAAAAAATAACTGAACGATTCCGGGAAAAATGACCAGTTGGAACCGGTTCCAATCGATGCTCGATGGCCAACCCTAGCACCGGTCCCTCCGACCACCACCAGCAGGCAAGGTGGGATAAGTGTCTTGCCCAAGGACACAACAGCAGCATTCTCTGTCCGAGATCGAACCTTCAACCTTCAGATTACTGGACGACCCGCTGAACCTGTTAGCTTCGAACCAGAAATACTCCCAAACTGCAGAAGTTGTTGTTTTTAGACAGCAAGTCAGGTGGTGCGCGAGCTGCCATTTTTCTCTCGGCAAGCCATCTCAGCACTGTCACATGATGCAAACAAACTCGACCCAGACGCTGCTCCATCGACACCTTGCCAAATGTGCCATCATCCTATACCTGTGATCACTGGCTTCAGAGGAAGGTCACACACAGCAAACCGCTTTTGCAACCTTCAAAACCTCCGCTCGCTAAAACCAACTCCCCCCGAAGACATCCACCTGTCTATGGGACTCTGGAACTGCCAATCAGCTGTAAGCAAAGCTGACTTCATTACCGCATATGCAAACCACCTGTCACTCGATGCACTGGCTCTCACTGAGACCTGGATCAAACCATGTGACAATGCTACCCCATCTGCTCTCTCAGTTAACCACACTTTCTCCCACACCTCTCGTGTGGTGGAACGGGCATGTTAATTTCCAACAAATGGATATACAGTCAGTTGCTACCCATCACTAAATACAACTCCTTTGAATACCACGCCATCCAGGTAACTGTACCAAAAAAATTCGTTTTGGTTGTCATATATCGCCAACCAGGTCAACTCGGAGATTTTCTTGATGAACTTGACACCCTGCTCTCCTCCATTCCTGAGCACAACTGTCCCACAATGGTCCTTGGAGACATGAATATTCACCTGGACAATCCCAGCTCATCAGGCTTCCTGTCACTAATGTCATCATTTGATCTAAAACTAGGTCAAAGTCCTCCAACTCACAAAGCTGGAAACGCACTTGACCTCATTTTCACCAGAAACTGTGCCATAGACACAATCTCTGTCACACCGCTGCATCTTTCCGATCATTACTTCATAGAAAGCTTTCTACACTGACAAAATTCTCAGCTCTACTGACTCTCAGAAACAATTTTCAACATTCAAAACTCTGCTCAACCCTCCATCTCCACCTCCTACCAACAATCTATCAACTGACACCTTTGCCTCATTCTTCACTGATAAAGTGGCAGCTATAATGCCCACTCCTGAACTTTCGCTACCACAAACTCCTTCTAGCCCAACCATCTCAAGCCCTACTGCTTCATTTTCCTCTTTTCCCCTGTCACTGAGAACTATGTGTCCAAGCTTCTCACGTGCAGCCGCCCTACTACATACCGACTTGATCCCATTCCGACTAAGCTGCTCCAAGCTATTGCTCCTACAGTAGCCACAGCAGTCACACATGTGATCAACGCTTCACTCACATCTGGTACATTTCCCACCTCCCTCAAGCATGCTCAGGTTAAACCGCTACTAAAAAAAACCATCTCTTCCTCCAAATCATGTGGAGAACTACCAACCTATCTCTCTCCTCCCTTTTCTGTCCAAAATCATTGAAAGGGAGGCTTTCAAGCAGATCACAGAATACCTCTCACAAAACTGTCTGCTTGACCCTTACCAATCTGGGTTCAAAAAGGGCCACTCCACTGAAACTGCTCTGTTAGCAGTGACTGAATCCTTAAAAGAAGCTAGAGCAACTGGCAAATCCTCAGTGCTTATCCTGCTCGACTTATCGGCTGCATTTGACACTCAACCATGGTTTCCTTTTGTCCACACTCTAGCATGGGCATCACAGAGAAAGCACATGCCTGGTTTGAATCGTACCTCACAGGGCGATCAGTGTATCTTGGCTTGGACAGTCCTCTACCGTGCACCATCTTGCCACAGGAGTCCCCCAGGGCTCTGTACTAGGACCTCTTCTATTTGCCATATACACCACCTCACCGGGTGAGATCATTTGATCATGTGGCTTCTCCTACCACTGATATGCAGACGACACCCAGCTCTATCTGTCATTTCCACCGGACGACCACACTGTCTCTGCACGAATATCAAACTGTCTCTCTGACATATCAACATGGATGAAATCCCACCATCTCCAAATCAACCTCTCTTAAACTGAACTGCTTGTCATCCCAGCAAAACCATCCATACAGCACAATATCTCAATCCAGAATGACTTCCTATCTCTGGCTCCTTCAAAGGCCAGTTTGAAATCTGGGTGTTGTGATTGATGAACACCTGACCTTTAAAGATCATGTTGCCTCTGTTGTTCGTTCATGCCGCTTTGTGCTGTATAACATGAAAGATCAGACCATACCTAGCACAACATGCCACCCAGCTCCTAGTGCAATCTACTGTCATCTCCCGCCTCCATTACTGCAACGCTCTTCTAACTGGTCTTCCAGGCTGTACTGTGAGACCTCTTCAAATGGTCCAGAACGCAGCGGCGCGTCTGGTCTTCAATCAGCCAAAAAGAGCACACGTCACCCCTCTGTTCATTGAGCTCCACTGGCTACCGCTAGCAGCACGCATCAAATTCTAATAGCTAACACTAGCATACAAAGTCTGAGATGGTACGGCTCCCATCTACCTGAATCCTCTTGCAAAGGCTTACGTCTCGGCCCGGCCGCTCCGGTCATCACAGGATGGTCGGCTAGCAGTGCCTACACCACGCTCAGGACAATCCAGACTTTTCTCATCCATCGTTCCACAAATGTGGAATGACCTTCCAAGCACCACCAGAACTGCGGCTTCCTTTTCAATTTTCAAGAAGCTCCTGAAGACCCTGCTCTTCAGAGAGCATCTTCTAAACTAGCACCCTCCCTGCACCCGTCCCCCCTCTCTACTGTCCACTCCTTGTTTCCTCCTCTCCATGATTGATGTCAAGTTGTTTTTGTTATTGTTGTTGTTAGCCTCAAGGGCAACATGCCGATTATCACTTGTAAGTCGCTTTGGACAAAAGCGTCTGCTAAATACATAAACATAAACATGATGACATCATATTCTCAAACTTTATGGAACATCTATAAAATTTGGACAAAACATTTAAAAATATTTAAGTAAAACATAAAATTTAACCACATATCCATTTTTTACATAAAATTACCTTTATATGTCTTTTTCATTCATGTTTTTTTTTTTCTTTGCCTCCTACGTGCAGTTTTTTTCATGATGGTGTTGGAACTGACACCGTTGCCATATTTTAACACCGGCTGTATACCGTAATACCACCCAAACCTAGTTATTATGCTTCTGATGTTGTCAGTTTGAGAAATTAATGTTCCTTTTAATTTTAATAACTGGCAATGACACATCTTATATGTTTTCAATTTTTTTATTTTTTTTTCAATATTGTGGTTTATTATCTGTTTTGTTTTTATGTGATTCAACATTAAGCTAGCAATGATCTCTTAGTGTAGGACCTCAAACTCAGAGGATCTCTTGGGTTATTTAAGTATTTGTCTTATAAAAGGATTTAAAACCATATGGCTCATCTGTGGATAAACTCTGTATGTGTCTGCTTGGACCTACTAAATTAAACTTCAAACATGTTTTGAGTTTTTTCTAAATGGCTAATTGTGCTAATGGCTTAGATGCATTTACATGGATCTGCTTCTTGTAGAGACTGGAGTTATGGAGACCATCGCCCTTCCAGACTCACCTCTGATTCATCATCTCCAGTCAGATCTAATAATGCCTCTTTTTAATCCGCTCTTTTAAAGTTTGGAATTAAGATGCTAATCATAGATGCTTATTCAGGTCAAGGTGAAGTGTAGCTAATTGAATGCTTTGTCATATATCTCTTAACAATGTCGTTCAAATACATGTGACAAAAATGCAGACGTTCTTCTTAAACAGTGTCAGGTGTCATCAGGGTCATTTCAGATCTGGGTCCATGCCTGGCTTATGGGGCAGTTTTCAGCGTCTCCACGTAAGGCCATGTTGGATAAGTGTGCATCCTCTCAGACCTCAGCAAAGACACTATTCTGACTTGACTCAGACAGTTCTGACACGTATTCTCTGCTCAGAAGGAGACCAGATGCTGCTGGTATTCAGTTGCCAGGCTACAGTGGAGCATAGGGCACAGTGCCTTGACTTATGTTACAGCCTGTGACACCAGGTCTAATCTCACCCCCCTTCAGGGGGAGATGGTTCCCTGTGTCTCAGAGGGTGTTATTGCTAACTGGACTAGTGGCTGTGAACTCTGATGAGCTTCTGTTTTGAGCTCAGGGACACTCGTATTAATCTATAATGGTGGCGACGTGTCAGTTAGCTCTCGTCAAAGACCAAAGGACAAACCTTCTTGTTGGTAAACATGCTGACAGGTGATGCTACAACAGGTCCGCTCTGGGCCGCTCCCCACAACCAGATAATGTCCAACACTTTACACCACAGGATGCTGACCGACTCTTTGTTGTTTTAAGCCTATTGACTTGTAATAAGCTTCCTGAAGTAGTGGGCTTTCTAGCTCAAGAGCTGAATTCTGACTTTGTGCAGCATTGCTTTCATTTAATAAGCCTGACCAGCTTTAATGTGCAGCGTCTGGAGTGGGAATTGAATGTCAGCAATTGAGGCGGAGAATCTGATTGATTCTGAGTCCGAGTGAGTTTCGTTAGAGCTGCAGCATGGTCACCCGCTTTGTATCAGTGGGGATTTGTTCTGAGGTCAGGGGGATTGTGATACTTGAAAGAGATAAGCTATTTTTAATTGATGGTGTGCGTGCGTGTTTAGGTGTGTGCGTGCACAAAAGTTATTTAATTACTACCAGTTGTAAATGACTTTCTTTATGTCCTCTGTTTGAAGAAAATCAATTTATATTCTACTAGACTGATAAGCTAACAGCTAGTCCTAATGCAGCCTTGATGCCATTGTAAAACAGCTACATCTAATGGTGGCCCATGTGACAACGTTACACTTTCATGTACAGGTGCTGGCCAGTAAATTAGAATATCATCAAAAGGTTGAAAATATTTCAGTAATTCCATTCAAAACGTGAAACTTGTACATTATATTCATGCAATGCACACAGACCAATGTATTTCCGATGTTTATTACGTTTAATTTTGATATTTATAGGTGACAACCAATGAAAACATCAAATCTGGTATCTCAGAAAATTAGAATATTCTAAAGGCCAATGAAAAAATGTTTGTTTCTCTAATGTTGGCCAACTGAAAAGAATGAACATGAAAAGAATGTGCATGTATAGCACTCAATACTTAGTCGGGGCTCCTTTTGCCTCAATAACTGCAGTAATGCGGCGTGGCATGGACTCGATCAGTCTGTGGCACTGCTCAGGTGTTATGAGAGCCCAGGTTGCTCTGATAGTCGTCTTCAGCTCCTCTGCATTGTTGGGTCTAGCGTATTGCATCCTCCGCTTCACAATACCCCATAGATTTTCTATGGGGTTAAGGTCAGGCGAGTTTGCTGGCCAATCAAGGACAGGGATACCATGGTCCTTGAACCAGGTGCTGGTGGTTTTGGCACTGTGTGCAGGTGCCAAGTCCTGTTGAAAGGTGAAGTCTGCATCCCCATAAAGTTGGTCAGCAGCAGGAAGCATGAAGTGCTCTAAAACTTCCTGGTAGACGGCTGCATTGACCCTGGACCTCAGGAAACAGAGTGGGCCAACACCGGCAGATGACATGGCACCCCACACCATCACTGACGGTGGAAACTTTACACTGGACCTCATGCAACGTGGATTCTGTGCTTCTCCGCTCTTCCTCCAGACTCTGGGTCCTTGATTTCCAAAGGAAATGCAGAACTTGCTTTCATCAGAAAACATAACTTTGGACCACTCAGCATCAGTCCAGTCCTTTTTGTCCTTGGCCCAGGCGAGACGCTTCTTGCGCTGTTTCTTGTTCAAGAGTGGCTTGACACACGGAATGCGACACCTGAATCCCATGTCTTTCATGAGTCTCCTCGTGGTGGTTCTTGAAGCGCTGACTCCAGCTGCAGTCCACTCTTTGTGGATCTCCCCCACATTTTTGAATGGGTTTGTCGTCACAATTCTCTGCAGGGTGCGGTTATCCCTAGAGCTTGTACACTTTTTTCTACCACATTTTTTCCGTCCCTTCGCCTGTCTGTTAATGTGCTTGGACACAGAGCTCTGCGAACAGCCAGCTTCTTTAGCAATCACCTTTTGTGTCTTGCCCTCCTTGTGCAAGGTGTCAATGATTGTCTTTTGGACAGCTGTTAAGTCAGAAGTCTTCCCCATGATTGTGGTGCCTTCAAAACAAGACTGAGGGACCTTTTAAAGGCCTTTGCAGGTGTTTTGAGTAAATCAGCTGATTAGAGTGGCAGCAGGTGTCTTCTATATTCAGCCTTTTCAGAATATTCTAATTTTTTGAGATACCAAATTTGGAGTTTTCATTAGTTGTCACTTATGAATATCAAATTTAAATGTAATGAACATTGGAAATACATTGGTCTGTGTGCATTGCATGAATATAATGTACAAGTTTCACGTTTTGAATGGAATTACTGAAATATTTTCAACCTTTTGATGATATTCTAATTTACTGGCCAGCACCTGTACAAGTAGTTTTCTGTTTATTTACAAACATGACAAACATCAAAATGTAGCACTTCTGGTGAATTCAGGGGTCACATTTCAGCCAAAAAACAACAACGTAGTGTGAAACGAACAGCTGTTTAAGTGACATTTTTGCCTGCTCTACCCCGACAGAATACATCGGAGTGGCAGGAGAGATGCACTTTCCAAAGACAACCTGCTCCTGCGAGGCTGCACTATCCGTAACACGGAGGAAGCTTTGGGAATAGTCATCTATGCAGGTCAGCCTCTCCAGGTTCTGTGTTACCCTGTGTCATGCACCGTTTACGGCCCGAAACCGACACGCCACGTGTCTCTACAGGTCATGAGACCAAAGCCATGCTGAACAACAATGGTCCGCGTTACAAGCGCAGCAAACTGGAGAGACAGATGAATGTGGATGTGTTCTGGTGTGTTATCATCCTGCTGGTTATGTGCCTGTTCACTGCAGTCGGTATGTAATTGATCAGGTTGTATAATCAGCATTTTGAAGGGTCTTGTAAGGAGCTACATGCCATTTGTAAAGACTTGTGAATAAAGGGGATACCATTACATAAAATCTTGGTTTTGCTTTAAATATCTTTTTCTTTCTCTCGTCCTAACATTTGCTGACCTTGTGGTGTTGCTGTTCCAGGTCATGGGCTGTGGATGTTTCAGTATGGAGATAAGAGGCCTGCGTTCGACGTTCTCAGTCCCGACGGGAGAGACTTATCACCCATCATGTCAGCCATTTACCTCTTCCTGACTATGATCATCGTTTTTCAGGTACAAACCTGAGAAAAGCTTGAATTTACGGCATGAAGTCTCAGGACGTGTAAATAGTGATCTTGGCTGTAGTCATACTCGCCACCTGAACATTTGACCTCTAAACATTTACCTTTGTTTAGATTTGTCAAAGCAGAGAGAAAGTTTGTTGTTGGAGCTGCACACAGCCTCTCTAACACAAGATCAAACCAGCCAGAAGTGACACTGAGACCTATTGATCTGTTGGCTTACAGGTTAGACCACAAATGAAATGTCACCCTGCTCTGTGTCTGTGACATGGCAGCTCACTTCTGATGTAGAGACAGCAATGTGGTTTTACTGGAAAAACACCAGGCAGGTTTGTTGAGACATTCACGTAAACACTGGCATTCTCGGGGTTGAGGACACTGAGCAGACTTAACTGCACTCCCAGATGGTATGACTCATCTTGTCCAAACAGCAATGTTGCCTGGAAATCTCCCATCATGGGTCATGTGAACATTTTCTTAACAATTAGTAAACCTCTAAATGGGCTGTTCACTATTTCAGAAGAAAATGAATTCAAAATGATGAAAAACATCTAAATATTAGAAAGCAAGTTGACTGAGAAACCGTTTTTACTTATTTTTGAAATATGATCGAACACTCTTGAGTTTTACACGCACGCTGAACTAGAACGTATTTCCTGCATTAGCCGCTGATAAAAAAATAGACATGGAAATGCTCGTATTAGAAAAGCCAGTGATATTTGCATGTCATAATGTCAAATTAGCATCAGTGGATTCACCCATAGGACTCACTCTCCTGAACAGGAGCATGACCACTGCGACTGTATTTAAAAGACAAATGAGCTTTGTCTTTAATAGTGAACAAAAATATTATTTTGCTTTATTGTTGAAGCTCTCTCTGGGCTGCCACCTTACCGTGGTGGAGGGGTTTGAGTGTCTCAGTGATCCTAGGAGCTAAGTTGTCTGAAGCTTTCTGCCTCTGGTAGGGTCACCCATGGCAAACAGGTCCTAGGTGAGGGATCAGACAAAGAGCAGCCCGAAGACCTCTTATGGTAAATTATATGAATGGAAACTGTATTTCCTCGCCCAGACGTGGGTCACCGGGGCCCCCCTCTGGAGCCAGGCCTGGAGGTGGGGCACGTTGGCGAGCGCCTGGTGGCCGGGCTTTCGCCCATTGAGCCTGGCCGGGCACAGTCTGAAGAGGAAACGTGGGTCCCCCTTCCCATGGGCTCACTACTCGTGGGAGGGGCCAAAGGGGTCGGGTGCAGTGTGTGACGGGTGGTAGTCGAGGGCAGGGACCTTGGCGGTCTGATCCTCGGCTACAGAAGCTGGCTCTCGGCACATGGAATGTCACCTCTCTGGTGGGGGAGGAGCCTGAGTTGGTGTGTGAGGTTGAGAGGTTCCGACTAGATATAGTCGGACTCACAACAACGCATGGCTCTGGCTCTGGAACCAGTTTCCTTGAGAGGGGTTGGACTTTCTACCACTCTGGAGTTGCTCCCACTGAGAGGCGCTGAGCAGGGGTGGGCATACCAATTACGCCCCATCTTGGTGCCTGTACGTTGGGGTTTACCCCAGTGAATGTGAGGGAAGCCTCCCTCCACCTACGTGTGGGGGGACGGGTTCTGACTGTGGTCTGAGCTCATGCACCAAACTACAGTTCAGACTACCCACCCTTTTTGGAGACCTTGGAGGGGGTGCTGGAAAGCGCTCCTTCTGGTGACTCCCTCGTTCTGTTGGGGGACTTTAAAGGGACTTTACAGAGTTTAAAATTTTCATGCTCGCGATTGCCCCCTCAGGCCAAAAGCGTAACAGCAGCTTCAATAGTAGGCTCGTGCACGAGGCGCGCATGCTGTACGTGCACACTCCTTAACGAAAATAACAGCTGAGACAATCCCGTGTGTGTGTGTGTGTGTGTGGTTGTGTGGGGCCCGGAGGACAGAGGACAAGAGAACACGCAGCTAATTAATTAAATAATTTGGTTCTGTACCTTTCTCTTCAGCACAGCGACAAAGGTTTATGATGGGTCAGTCCTCCTGCATGCTCAGATCATTCCCTTTCCTTGCTTGAAAAATTGTTCCAAAATGAAAGTTGAACCCACATCTTTTTTATCTGTGAATTCAATGCCGTTTGGCGAGTCTCAAATAAAAATTTGGGCATCTTATTGTAAAAAAGTATACCATTAATGTAAAAAATAAACTCTAAATAAAGAGATCCCGGGTCCCCCGCACGAGAGTCCGATGTCTTACCAGATGAGCTATAACGCCAGTGACGACTTTTGTATCTGTAACTTTTATTTCCTTGATGACAGCTGAAACAACGTTCAAAGAACGATTCGGAGTGAAAATGGCTATTTTGTTGCTAATTTGCAGGAAATATCTAGAAAAAAGTTCTACAGAAAGTAGCTAAGGGTCCTCAGAAATGTAGCTACAGTTGTGGTCAGAAGTTTACATACACTTGTAAAAAATATAATATAATGGCTCTACTGAGTGTCCCGTTATTTCTAAAACTCTGATTTTTCTCTGATAGAGTGATTGGAACAGATACTTCTTTGTCACAAAAAACATTCATGAAGTTTGGTTCTTTAATGTCTTTATTATGGGTTAACAGAGAACAGTGATCACATTTGCTGGGTCACAAATATACATACAGCAGTGCTGATATTTGGTTACATGTCCCTTAGCCATTTTCACTTCAATCAGGCGCTTTTGGTAGCCATCCACAAGCTTCTGGCAAGCTTCTGGTTGAATCTTTGACCACTCCTCTTGACAGAATTGGTGAAGTTCAGTTAAATTTGATGGCTTTCTGACATGGACTTGTTTCTTCAGCACTGTCCACATGTTTTCAATGGGGTTTAAGTCAGGACTTTGGGAAGGCCATTCTAAAACCCTTATTCTAGCCTGATTTAGCCATTCCTTTACCACTTTTGATGTGTGTTTGGGGTCATTGTCCTGTTGGAACACCCAACTGCGCCCAAGACCCAACCTTCGTGCTGATGATTTTAGGTTATGTTGAAGAATGTGAAGGTAATCCTCCTTCTTCATTATCCCATTTACTCTCTGTACAGCACCAGTTCCATTGGCAGCAAAACAGCCCCACAGCATAATATTCCCACCACCATGCTTGACTGTAGGCATGGTGTTCTTGGGGTTAAAGGCCTCACCTTTTCTCCTCCAAACATATTGCTGGGAACTGTGGCCAAAAAGCTCGATTTTCGTTTCGTCTGACCACAGAACTTTCCTCCAGAAGGTCTTATCTTTGTCCATGTGATCAGCAGCAAACTTCAGTCGAGCCTTAAGGTGCCGCTTTTGGAGCAAGGGCTTCCTTCTTGCACGGCAGCCTCTCAGTCCATGGAGATGCAAAACACGTTTGACTGTGGACAATGACACCTGTGTTCCAGCAGCTTCTAATTCTTGGCAGATCTGCTTTTTGATGATTCTTGGTTCACTCTTTACCCTCCTGACCAATTTTCTCTCAGCAGCAGGTGATAGCTTGCGTTTTCTTCCTGATCTTGGCAGTGATGAAACAGTGCCATGCACCTTATACTTACAAACAATTGTTTGCACTGTTGCTCTTGGGACCTGCAGCATCTTTGAAATGGCCCCAAGTGACTTTCCTGACTTGTTCAAGTCAATAATTCGCTTTTTCAGATCCATGCTGAGCTCCTTTGACTTTCCCATTGTAACGTTTGTGGGCGTTTGTATCCAATGAGCCCTATTTACCTGGCCTAAGAGAAGTCACCAGCTGTAGTCACTCATAATCACTCACAAGAAGTTAAGAGGCCATGCTATGAAGCTCAGTTCACTGACACGTTTCTAAGTCACCAAAATTGCTACTTCATGTTGCTGTAAACTGTCAAACTTCCATAATGTCCCTTTAATGCTCACGTGGGCAACGACAGTGAGACCTGGAGAGGTGTGGTTTGGAGAAATGGCCCCCGATCTGAATTTGAGTGGTGTTTTGTAATTGGACTTCTGTGCCAGTCATGGATTGTCCATAATGAACACCATGTTCAGACATAAAGGTGTCCATATGTGCTCTTGACACCAGGATACCTTAGGCTGCAGCTCGATGATCGACTTTGTTGTTGTTTCTTCTGATCTGCGGACGCATGTCTTGGACACTCGGGTGAAGAGAAGGGCGGTGCTGTCAACTGACCACTACCTGGTGGTGAGTTGGCTCAGATGGTGGGGGAGGATGCCGGTCAGACCAGGCAGGCCCAAATGTATTGCGAGGGTCTGCTGGGAACATCTGGCAGAGTCTCCTGTCAGAGGGAGCTTCAATTCCCACCTCCGACAGAACTTCCAAAATGTTCCCGGGGAGGCGGGAGACATTAAGTCTGAATGGACCCTGTTCCGTGCCTCCATTGTTGACCAGAGCTGTGGTCGCAGGATCGTCGGTGCCTGTCGTGGTGGTAACCCCCGAACTCACTGGTGGACACCGGCGGTTAGGGATGCCGTCAAGCTGAAGAAAGAGTCCTATCAGGTCTTTTTGGCCTGTGGGACTCCAGAGGCAGCTGACGGGTACCGGCAGTCCATGCAGAACGTGGCTCGGGTGGTCGCCGAGGCAAAAACCCGGGCATGGGAGGAGTTCGGTGAGACCATGGAGCAAGACTTCCGTACGGCTTTGAGGTGATTCTGGTCCACCATCCGGCGCCTCATGGGGGGGAAAGCAGTGCGCTACCAACACTATCTACAGTGGGGACGGTGTGCTGCTGACCTCTACTCAGGACGTTGTGGATCGGTGGGCAGAATACTTCGAAGACCTCCTCAATCCCACCGACGCGTCTTCCAGTGAGGAAGCAGAGTCTGTGGACTTTGGGTTGGCCTCTCAAATCTCTGGTGCTGAGGTCACTGAGGTGGTTAAAAAGCTCCTCTGGGGCAAGGCTCCAGGGGTGGATGAGATCCATCCGGAGTTCCTTAAGGCTCTGGATGTTGTGGGGCTGTGTTGGCTGACATGGCTCTGCAGTATCACGTGGACATCGGGGGCAGTCCCACTGGACTGGCAGATCGGGGTGGTGGTCCCCTTATTTAAAAAGGGGGGCCACAGGGTGTGTTCCAACTACAGGGGGATCACACTCCTGAGCCTTCCTGGTAAGGTCTATTCAGAGGTTCTGGAGAGGAGGGTCCGTCGGATTGTTGAACCTCAGATTCAGGAGGAGCAATGTGGTTTTCGTCCAGGCCGTGGAACACTGGACCAGCTCTATACCCTTAGGGGGATCCTGGAGGGTGCGTGGGAATTTACCCAACCAGTCTACATGTGTTTTGTGGATTTGGAGAAGGCGTTTTACCGTGTCCCTCTGGGGGCCCCTGTGGGGGGTATTCCGGGAGTATGGGGTACCAGGCCCTCTGATACGGGCTGTTAGGTCCCTGTATGACCGGTGTCAGAGCATGGTCCGCATTGCCGGCAGTAAGTCGGGCTCGGTCCCAGTGAGAGTTGGACTCCGCCAAGGCTGCCCTTTGTCACCGATTCTGTTCATAACCTTTATGGACAGGATTTCTAGGTGCAGCCAAGGTGTGGAGGGGATCCGTTTTGGTGGCCTGAGGATCAGGTCTCTGCTTTTTGCAGATGATGTGGTCCTGTTGGCTTCATCAGAACATGATCTTCAGCTTTTTCTGGAACGGTTCGCGGCCGAGTGTGAAGCAGCTGGGATGAGAATCAGCTCCTCTAAATCTGAGACCATGGTCTTGATTCAGAAAAGGGTAGAACACCTTCTCCGGGTCAGGGATGAGGTCCTGCCTCAAGTGGAGGAGTTTAAGTATCTCTGGGTCTTATTCATGAGTGAGGGAAAACTGGAGCGTGAGATCGATAGGCGGGTTGGTGCTGCATCTGCAGTGATGTGGGCGTTGTCTGTCGTGGTGAAGAGAGAGCTGAGTCAGAAGGCGAAGCTCTCGATTTACCGGTCGATCTACGTTCCTACCCTCACCTATGGTCATGAGCTTTGGGTAGTGACCGAAAGAACGAGATTGCGGATACAAGCGGCCAAAATGAGTTTTCTCTGAAGAGTGGCTGGGCTCTCCCTTAGAGATAGGGTGAGAAGCTCCGTCATTCGGGAGGGGCTCAGAGTAGACCCGCTGCTCCTCCACATCGAGAGGAGCTAGTTGAGGTGGCTCGAGCATCTGGTCAGGATGCCTTCTGGACGCCTCCCTGGTGAGGTTTTCCGGGCACGTCCAACCGGGAGGAGACCTAAAGGTAGACCCAGGACACGGTGGAGGGACAATGTCTCTCATCTGGCCAGGGAACGCCTTAGGATTTCCCCAGAGGAGCTGGCCCAAGTGGCTGGGGAGAGGGAAGTCTGGGCCTCTCGCCCTAGGCTACTGCCCCCGCGACCCGACTCCGGATAACTGGATGAAAATGGATGGATGGTTGGATGGATTATTGAAGCAAAAATGACTAAAAGGAAATTTATTGTAATCCCACGACCTTCACCTGGCGGGCTGCGAGGCTTATAAAACGCTGGGGGAGACCCTGGCGAGGTGCCATCATCTGATTTGTAAACATGCTAGTTATGAACTTTAACAAGCTGATAAATCTCAAAAGTACACGACAGTCATGGTCAAAACACTTTTCATTTAAATTGAAGTACAATATGTGCGATCCAGGGCATGAGGCAAAGCGGATTAGAAAATAGCTCCTTTAGCCCCGTTGACTTGCATTCATTTTTTTGTTCTCGGGACCCATGAGCCGACCGGAAAGGGGGGGGGACTAGGCTCCCTTTATGTTTGTACTGTCGTCTTTATTCGTTTAGCCATTGGTTGTAAAGTCTTTGATTTTTTTACCTGCTGACTTTGTCACTGTTATTTCTACCATTGCCTGCAGCTTTTAGCTCAAAGCAGAACATTAAAACAGTTTGATTATTTGGCCTTTCAGGGAGGAGCCGCTCTAAGTCTTTTTCTCTTCTCCTAGGTGTTGATACCCATCTCACTCTTTGTGTCAATTGAAATTGTCAAAATCTGCCAAGTTTACTTCATCCATCAAGACTTGGATTTGTACGATGAGGAAACGGACTCCCACCTGCAGTGCAGAGCTCTTAATATCACTGAGGATCTGGGCCAGATGCAATACATCTTCTCTGACAAGACGGGCACGCTGACGGAAAACAAGATGGTGTTCCGACGCTGCACTGTGGCTGGGGTGGAGTATTCCCATGATGCCAATGGTGAGAGGAGCCACACACACACACACACACAGGCACACCCTTCAATGGAAATGGAATAATAGTAATCTCTTATTTTAGCTTAAGTTATTCTTAATGTGTGGTCTGTGAAGCCAGGAGAATCGCCATGTACCAGGAAATGGATTCCGAGGAGGACGAATGCATGTCCCATGGTGGCACCCTGCCCAGACGGGACAGTGTGACCAGTTACCAAAGCGCCCATGTGGTGCTACGCTCCCACAGCACCAAGTCCCACCGTAGGACGGGCAGCAGGGCGGAGGCCAAGCGAGCCAGCATCCTGTCGAAACACACAGCCTTCAGCAGCCCCATGGTCTGTTCATCTCACTGTCCTGCTGCCATCAGTTGTCCACTCCACTATTAACCTCCTTCCTGTCCCGCAGGAGAAAGACGTCACCCCTGACCCTCAGCTTCTAGACAAAGTCAATGAATGCAGCAGTCAGATGGACTTCATGCGCCTCCACCGCCAGCCCATGTCCCAGCTGACCTCTGATCTCGCTGACATCATAGATTTCTTCATCGCTCTCACCATCTGCAACACTGTGGTGGTGTCTTCACCTAATCAGCCCCGTCACAAGGTAACAGCTGAGCTGCTCCTGTTAGGGTTTTGTAGTTTATTATGTTGTTAAATGAGGGTTTTGTCCTAAGTTATTATTTTGAGCATCAGCTTAGGCTGAAATAATTCAAGTTTTCTTTTCCAAACTTCAACTAAAGACATTTGTTCTGTTCTAAAACGTTCCATATCTGGTGAAATGTCTGGCTGCACGTAGCTTTCCCAGATCCTCTGTGTGTATCTTTGATGTGCTCGGCCCGAACACTGCTGTGTATCCGAGTTTTGTTTTGCTCCTGTGTGAGTTTGGGTGTGGTTGTCCTGTTCAGTGGTGATATCCTTTCCAATCCAAATACAGCGTTGTACAGGCTCGCTGTCCCATCCAGCCCCTCACAGGGACAGATCTGCTCAGATTAAACTGCACAGTGGCACATTATTTATGGAAGCCTGTGTTTGTCCTCCAAGGTTATCGGTTTTGTTGGAAGGAAGCGTCAATTTGCACAAAATCACTCACTTAGATACAGTCTCCTTCCTGTTTTCTTTACTTTTTTTTATTGTTTTGATTTGTTGCCCTTCATTCTGGTGAAATTGTTCACTTTCTATGACATTGCCCTTGGATGGATTTATTCTTGTATATTTGTGAGGACCGTGAGTCCATTCAGTGAGTCACCCTCTTCGTCTCTGTGCAGCGACACCCTGGGATGAGGGTTAGCTGAATGATTATTGCCACCAGAGGCATTTTCACAAACTATGGAGCCTCGTCATTATCACACACTGGTGAAATTCATCTCCACATGAGGGGAGCGGTGAGCTGTAGTGGTGGCTGCGCTCGGGAACTATTTGGTGGTTTAACCCCCCAATCCAACCTCTTAAAGCTGAGTGTCAAGCAGGGAGGCATTGAGTCTTTGGTATGACCTGACAGGGAATCAAACCCCGATCTCCCAGTCCAAGGGCGGACACTCTACCACTAGGCCACTGAGCTGGTAATAGAGTGGGGTCTTCTGTCGTCTGAAGCATTTTAAGGCTTCATTAACAATAAAAATCTATTTTCAAAAATTTCACAAAATCCCAGATTAAAAGAAGAAAGAATTCTATTTGATTCTGTTTATTTATAAAGCACCAAATCACGACAAGAGTCGTCTGCAAGGCACTTCATATAGTAAACATTCCAATACAGGTCAGTTCATTTAGACAATCAGTGAAATGTTCCCTATATAAGGAACCCAGCAGGTTGCATCAAGTCACTGACTAGTGTCAGAGTCTTTACAGCAGTCCTCATACTAAGCAAGCATTTAGCGATTGTGGAGAGGAAAACTCCCTTTTAACAGGAAGAAACCTCCAGAGAATCCTGGCTCAGTATAAGCAGCCATCCTCCTCGACTCACTGGGGATCGAGAAGACAGAACACGCACGCACACACGCACGCACGCACGCACACACACACACACACACACACACACACACACACAAAGACATATACACCAAGTAGTATGGTTATATTGTGATTCCTTAGTAAATATTCTATTTAGTAAGAGATAAACTTTATTGTATTTATCTTAGTGAATCTGTAATTAATTCAACAAGTAAACTAGTAGTATCACATTCAATATCAAAGAGTAAAACTATTATCAGGAGAGGGAGAATGTGTAAGTGGTTAGAAGCAGTGTTCAAGCAGAGCTATAGAGAGAGAGAGAGAGTTGCGATGCACCAATAGACTTCTGTGCAGTAGCTCATCAGGTTGAGTGGGTTGTCCAGTAATCAGAAGGTTGCAGGTTCGATCCCGGCTCCGGACAGAGAATTCTGCTGTTGTCCTTGGGCAAGACACTTAACCCACCTTGCCTGCTGGTGGTGGTCGGAGGGACCGGTGGCGCCTGTGCAAATTTTGTTATTTGTCCCACCATACGCCGTTCAAAATGACTTACGGCACTGGGATGTTTGGAACTATTGAGAGCTCCATGAACCACGTGACTGCGAGTCAGCGAGTTCAAAGCGTGTCGTAACTCTCTCTTTCTATAGTTCTGTGTTCAAGCCGATGACCCCCACTCCCCCACTTGTCCAGATCTGGGCTAAAATCAGATTTTAACCATAGGCCCTATCAAATAAAAAAGTTTTAAGCCTAGTCCTAAAAGTAGACAAGGTGTCTGCCTCACGGACTAAAGCTGGGAGTTGGTTCAACAAGAGAGGAGCCTGATAGCTAAAAGATGAGCCTCCCATCCTATTTTTAGATATTCTTGGAACCACCAGTAAACCTGCAGCCTTAGAGTGAAGTGCTCGGTTAGGAACGTATGGAACAATCAGGTCACTGATGTATGATGGAGCTTGATTATTAAGAGCTTTATATGTGAGAAGGAGGATCCTAAAATCTATTCTAATTTTAACAGGCAGCCTATTAGTGACGGGAATTCTGGCTCTTTTCTTTTCTTTTGGCTCAGCTCACCAAAAAGAGCCGGCTCTTTCGGCTCCCAAGTGGCTCTTCAGATTTTCTGTTGCGTAGAGTACATTTAAAACCAAAGTAATGCAAAACTATATGTAAAATGGTTTACTAATGTAAAAAATATGCTATATATCAAATATTTATCATTTCTATGGATTTAATAACTGAACACTTTAAGAAATCTCCACTTTCCGACTGCTGGCGCTCATTTTCTCACCGTCTTTGTCGCACTCTCCTCTCTCTCGCTCGCCTTTTTCCTCCTCCTCATTCCTTCTCGTCTCCCTCCACCCGTATGTGCTCTGCTGTGTGTCTGAGTCTGATCCTCCCTCTTCCCCGCCCCTACTTCTCCATGTGTGGACAGTCTGGACACGCAGTTACACATGTTGACCAATCGCGTGTAGCTTTCACCAAAGCCAGAGGGGAGGGGAGGGGAGGGGACGGCTCCCAGTGACGAGCCAGCTCCCGTCGTTCACTTCAAAGAGCCGGCTCTTAGAGCCGGTTCGTTCGCTACCGACACATCACTACAGCCAATGTAGGGAAGCTAAGACAGGAGAGATATGATCTCTCTTTTTAATTCTCATCAGAACTCTAGCTGCAGCATTTTGGACAAGCTGAAGACTTTTAACTACGTTCTGTGGACTTCCTGAGAGTAATGACTTACAGTAATCCAGTCTTGATGTAATAAATGCATGAACTAGTGTTTCTGCATCACTCCTGGAAAGGATGCTTCTAATCTTAGCAATATTCCGAAGGTGGAAAAAGGAAATCCTACAAACCTGTTTAACCTGGGATTTGAATGACATGTTCTGGTCGAAGATAACACCAAGGTTCCTTACTTTGTTCTCGGAGATTAATTAAATGCTGTTTATGTTCCAAACCACATTACTTGGTTCTTTTTTTAAGAACAGAAAAGGGTTGTTTTACCTTCTTTTTTGCTGATGTTTCCACTACTCCTGCAGTCTTCTTCAGAGCAATGATGGTGAAATTGTGTTCAATCATCATCATATATGTAGTTCTGTCTGGGTTCTCCCCACACACTGATAAATGATCAATGTTCAAATACACTCGTGACTGCAGGAATAGTCAACACGTCAGCAAAAAAGAAGGTAAAACAACCCTCTTCTGTGTTTAAAAAAAGAACCAAGTAATGCAGTTGGAAGAAACACACAGAATGAACGCACAAGAGTTCACAACCACAGAAGGAAAGAGTCGCCGTGTTGATGCACAAGAATGTAACACAATAAAAAATATCTTTAAGGGTCAGATTCACTGACACAGAAAAGGAAAACAATTGTTCATCATGACCAAAATCAGTCATTGTGGCTTTTTTGTTTTACTCTGTCCCTCACTGCTGTGAGGAAGTGCGCACGCGCGCACACACACACACACAGTGCTGCCAGACACGGCAAAGCAGAATGCAAAATCAAAGTCAGAGTATCCAAAAGCAAGACTGCTCAGGCCACTTTTGTTTAGTAATGGAGACACTGCAGACTTTCCACGCTCTTTTGCCCCGCCCATGTGCTCGGAGATTCACTCATGACATCACAGACCGCCCATGTGCTCAATCACAGCCGCATTCCTAACGCAGTGTGGAATGAATGCGGCCGGGCTGGGGCAGGGTGGAGCGGAACCGATGCTAGTGTGTGAGTGGCAATGGATTCAACAAGGTACTGGAAACATTACTCGAGAGTTTTTGGTCCACGTTGACATGACAGCATCACGCAGTTGTTGCAGATTTGTTGGCTGCACATCCCTGATGCAAATCTCCCATTTAGGGATGGGTACCGAATTCGGTACTTTTTAAGGTACCGACCGAATTCCATAGTACCGACCGAGCACCGATTCACGTCATTTGAAACGGTGCCTCGTTTCGGTACCCGTCCTTCACAACGAGAACTTGCCTAGACACCTGCGCATGCGCAAGAGCGTTACGTCGTCGGTCCCAGCGAGCGAGTTGTAAACAGAGCAGCATGGTAGAAAGAACGCACGCTAAAGCTTGGGTCCACTTCACTAAATGTGATGGGTAACTGGGTGATGATGATGAAACCAGCGACAGACAACGATCTAAGTGAGACATCCTCATCTTAATCTGCTCCGGTAGGTAAATAAAATGTTTAAGATAACGTTACCTTGATATGTTAGCTTCCATTTCGCTAATGGTGCGTTCGCTTTCTCCTCGGAACTCTGAACTTCCGACTAGAACATGAACGCGCTCTAAAGTTTGGCTTCACTTTACTAAATGCGACGGGTGATTGGGTGATGATGAAACCAGCGACAACGATCTAAGTGTGAGGCATCATCGTTTTAATCTGCTCCAGCAGCTAAATAAACGGTTTAAGATATCGTTAGCTTGATATGTTAGCTTCCTATGCCACCATTGTTATCAGCTAATGGTGCTTCGCTTTCTCCTCGGAAATTCTAACTTCCCAGTAGGAAAAATCAAATGAAAAAAGACAGCAAAAGGAATGAAGAAACACAGTAAATTTAGTTCACAGTAAAGATGTTTGCTTCAGTTTAATTATCAGCTTATAAAACTACAAGGACGATGTTAAAATACAAACAGTTGTATGTTATTTATCGTGATATTTATCAAAT